GAGTGATGTATACTAGTTGATACTTCCTGTAGGGGAAAGAGTTAGGCGAATTAAATTGCTTTGGGCAATTTCGTTTAAAGCAAGAAGGTTTTAGTTTGGCAAAAGGCTTCCAGGGGCGTTGGAAAGGGTTTTGATTGTCTAAAAATACGATAGGTTTAATGGGCAAGAGAAACTGCATCAGATGAGTTACTGCATAATGGATTTGGTAGTGGGTCGATTTGCGGTCTTATCGTCCCCCGTCCTTTACTTAGAAATCGAAATTAATTCACGTTCGTTAAAGATATATTAGTTTAGATGGATTTCTACTCCTTGAATATTATGAGTAAATTTTGGTAATCAAAATTAATGTAATTAGGTTTAAAATAACGTATCTTACATGAGTTTCGACGCCTGAGCTTAATTTTCAGCTGATTTCGGATTAGAAATTACCTTAAACAAATGCATTATTAACCAATTTCAATTGAATTTCGTTATTATAAACTAATCTGAAGTAATTTGAAATAGGACAAATTTAAATTGATTTTGTTGACATTAACCAAAACCAGTTTGAGAGTATAAATTTGTTTAAATGAACTCATATTTACAAACTCCTTTAAATCGGTTTTAAGAAAAGTGGTTGAATCTATTTGTAAAAAAGAAATTTATTTAAATTTATTCAGATCAGTTCAAAGACAGCTAAAGAGATACAAAAGAAAAAGTTCTATTCGCTTGGTCAGCGAACTCTGCTACAAGAGTGATATTCCGTAACGTTTTTTTGCGCTTTGTTTCTCTTATTATTTTCGAACGGCGTCAGAACTTGAGCTCTAAGATGTTTCAAGTTAAAAGAACATTTAAGAGAAAAGTGTGCTAAAGATTTTGAGGTGTCCCCACATTCTATATTTTCTTTTCTGCAACAACTATGATGAAAACACAAATACCTACTTTTTCACATAAGTTTGAAAAGTTGATGTTTGTATTTTCATCATAGTTGTTGAAGAAAAGAAAGTGAAGGCTGCGCACAGTTTTGTCTTTAATTTGTTACACTCTAGAGCACTCAGCCTGTCACAAGCCGAGCATTTAACTGAAAATATGTGCGAAAGCACGTATCCTTGGGATAGTGAACTGTGGTACATTATCATTGAATGCTGCTTATTCAATTTTGATTAGTAAAATTATAAGAATGAGTAACAAGTAAAATACAATGTAGATAATCAACAATTCCAGAACTTTTGTTTTTCTTTGTGTATTTTTGTTTATTGCGCGTAATTTTTAATTAAAAAATACGTCTTAATTTGTATTCATTTTTTTGGAGACTTTTCTTGCTCTAATGACTTTCTGCCTATGTGAAAATGTTTTCACCTTTGGATTTGCGTTCGTTCCTATTTTATTGTAAAAATAGTGCAAATAGCACTTCTTTTCACGTCTAAAAATTATTCGCCAGGATTGAAAAAAAGAGTTTGTACCTTGAAAAATCTGGAACAGGCCAGAATTTTCGTGAGAATTTTCTAGAACATTCCCGTGGTGCCCTTTAGAACGTGTGGATATCCGATAAATAGCCGAGCGTTCGCATAACGTTTTTTATTAGTTATTATAGCGCAAAAATAGACAGAATCTCTCATAGGACTCTCAGAAACTCTTCAAAAAACGGTAAACTACTTTTAGCCGTAAATAAGTTGCCGTAAAAAATGATCCACAGAATACCTCTAATAATGACTGGATAATATTCTAATAGAATGGGAAATGAGCTTGAAAGATGACTTGAAATTTCTTTCTTTTTCCACATGATAACAAAATTCTGTGTATCCTGTCTACTGTTTTCGATTAGTCTAGGAAACCTAGAAGCAATCGGAGGTACCGCAATCGATCTTTCACGCCAACGTGATAATGTCATATCTCTAGAGGTATCTATATGCGGATGGAATTTTCTCCTTCTCATCGACGATAAAAATTCACAAGAAAAAAATATATTCATGGCTATGCTTGTCTGTATATTCGTTACTTTTTGATTCAAGTTGTAGCTTGCATATGTCTTCGTTTCCTAATTCAGTTAACATGGCTTGTGTATTAAATTGCATTTTTCCTATTACTTGGGTTGTTTTTTGTAAACTAGAGAATACTGTGTTTGGACCATGGGGAAGATTATTTCCATTATATTGTATATTTTCTCTCATTTGTTCAAAAAGACGAGGAAAAATCGATGCTAAATCACTGCTAACAAGTGTTAAAGTGTCGATATCAGGACCAACATTATCTAAATACGGTAAAACTTGGAGAGTATTTTACAACTGAACAACACTCATATACATCATTGAATAAAATTTACTAACAGAAATGGTATCACTATCATCAGAATATACGTACGGTTTTATATCCTTAGGTAAATAGTCCATGAAAAGTGTTTCCCAATAACGCCAAAATTCTGCCGAAGCATATGGACTTCAACGAAACATGTGAAGAAATGTTGTATAATATGCGTTTGACGACGACGAATGCTAGTGTGGAAAATATTCTAATAAAATCAGATCATAATGACGTTGAGCATTCATTTCTTCATCGTTTTTTCTATTAATATCATTACTGTTGAAGTCACTCTAAAAGAGAAGTAAGAAAAAGATGGAACTAGAATGTTAATCACTGGGCTTATTTCTAGGTAATGAAGTGCAAGCGGAAATTACATGCTAATAAGGTGCCGATCATTCAAACTTTGAGCAGGTTTATATTTTTCGTTAATTCATACATGGTTGGATAGAGTGTACTGAGATGAGTAAGAAGATGTCTTTTAGTCCTTCAAAAGATTTTATAGAGGAGAAAATTGAAAGTTTTGAAGGTAGCTCATTTTTCAAAAACACGCCTAATTTTCGAAAAAATTCAGTTTTTCGACTTCAGGTTTGTTCGGGCCTCAAATTCGGTGAAAAAATGATTTCATAGCTGAAAGACACCTTTCTGAAATTTATGTGACCTTCCTGAAGTCTCCGCGATCTTCAGAAGGCTCTGAGAGTTCTTGTAAACTGTCAAAGCCTGACATTCACACTCAAAAGGAGGGCTTACAATTTATTAACAAAATAATAAATTGCTCCGTTTCTAGAATAAACGGCTGACCCACACTTTTTTCCGAATAAATGGCTATACAGTTCCTATCAGCGTAGGTTGTCTAGCATAAATGGCTCTGGCATTTATTACTCTCCAGCATAAATGGCTCTTTCTCTTTCATAATTTGTTTATCCGAGACGGTTGTCTAGCATAAATGGCTAATTTCTAACATAAATGGCTTCTTTCCTAGCATAAATGGCTCTGCCATTTATTAACCACTAGCATAAACGCCATAGCCATTTATTACTCTCCCGCATAAACGGCTCTTTCTCTTTCATAATTTGTCTATGCGGGACGGTTGTCTATCAGACCTCAATTTAAAAGAGGTCGTAATGTTTCATTATCTTAAATATATCTTTTAAATATTTTTAAACTGTTTTAATAAAATACGAAATTACATTATCTCCCCTTTTAATAATCTCTTTTTCAACATGAGTACTCCGCTTCTCGAATTCTGGGAAACATCGAGAGGAAAGCGGTTACTAGTTTATGAACTTTTCGCACAAAAAACAGTTGATCCAAAAGCATTTTGCCGAAACATGATTTTATCGAAAAGGCCCAGCTATAGCTTACGCGAACAAAAGACGAGAAATTACAAAGAATGACTAAAAAATTTACTATCCTTGTACAAGTCTCTCTCTAATATCAAACTGCCTGACTTAATCTGTCCTTCAATGTTGAGAGATATAAAATAGCCTTTGTTTCTGTAATGCTGGAGAGTAATAAATGGCGATGCCATTTATGCTAGGAAACAAGCCATTTATGATAGACAACGGTCCCGGATAGACAAATTATGAAAGAGAAAGAGTCGTTTATGCTGGAGAGTAATAAATGGCTATGCCATTTATAGTAGTAAAAAGCCATTTATACCGAATAGTCTCTCCTAGAACACATTTTCTTTCCACGATAGGGAGCCATTTATTCTTGGAACGGCGCAATTTATTTATCTAGTAATAAATTGTAACTGCTGCTGAAAGACCTCTAAAGATCTGGAAAGTATTTCCATTGGATTCTATGATATCTTTCAGCTATGAAACCACTTTTCCACCGAATTTGACTCTATCCAACCATGTGTGAATCAACGAAAAGTATAAACCTGCTCAAAGTTTGAATTACCGGCACCTTACTAAACATTTTTACCTCATTGATCATATCTATTGGATCTTCGTCGAATAATGGAATAGTTACTAACGATTGTAGCCTATTAACTGCTCTGTCTAACAATTTTGAAGAATAATGTTCAAGTATATTCACATTCATTAAAAAGTAATGTTCACAATAATGAGCTGACAGTTTTTCAATCGCAAATGTAATCCATTGTCGCCCTATATTAATTAAACCATCTTTTTTCGTCTCGTTTAGTAATTCCATTGTTTCACACATTCACATAACTGTTGCTTTTACAAAATACGATGGTATATATTCATCATCGAGAACAATTGGTCTTATCACTTTGTAATAAATTTTACGTGCAATTGCATTGAGCATTTTTTGTTCATGAGACCGATGTTTAGCGATAATGAGCTCTACGAGGGAAGTACCCCAATTGATAAATCGCTTTTTGAACGGAACCTAGTGGACTATAGGTAGTCGACGATGCTGGTTCTGAATATCACCATAACTGCTGCTGCTAGCCCTTCAAAGGCCGGTTTTCTGGCAAACCAGTTTTTGAGAAACTCTAAAGAACAACCAAAAGCTTTCTAAATGAGGCGTAATTATAGTCCATAAATTTCTGATTACAACGAGGTATCTCCCAGCTCTACACGATCTTTCTTTGCAAAGTTATAGAATTTACAAGAAAAGCCCTAAATTCGTTTTTCTTTCTGTAGCTCCAAGGTGACAATAAACATTTAGGGCTTTTCTTGTGAATTCTATAACTTTGCAAAGAAAGATCGTGTAGAGCTGGGAGATACCTCGTTGTAATCAGAAATTTATGGACTATAATTACGCCTCATTAAGAAAGCTTTTGGTTGTTCTTTAGAGTTTCTCGAAAACTGGTTTGCCAGAAAACTGGCCTTTGAAGGACTAGAAGCAGCAGTCATGGTGATATTCGGAATCAGCATCGTCGACTACCTATAGTCCACTAGGTTCAGTTCAAAAAGCGATTTATCAGTTGGGGTACTTCCCTCGTAAGTTTGAGAAAAAGTAATAAAATTCAAAACATGAATCTTGAGGATTAGGACATTTTTTTCGATGGCTTTGAAATGATGTATATTTCTCCTGTGGATAGTTGCTCATACAATATCGATCGATTAATTTTATTCGATATAGAAAATTGACCAGTATATCATTTCATTTATTTTTCATTGATAATGGGATACCGAATGCTGGTGACATTAGTGTACAGCAAAGCTCACCCGATTTCTTGTTGAGTGGCAGCATATCAAAATTAGGAACTAATTGTTTGTAGAATATCTTTCCAAAAGGTGATGATGATAAGAAATTAGATAAAGCTGATAGAGCAGAGGTGTATAGTTTTTGTCCATAATCATCACCTTTTTCTAATAATTGATGATAGACTTCGCATTGTTGACGTAACCGTGGCTGTGCTGAGCATTGATTGAGTTTATTTTGTTGAAATATATCAAAGATTAACTTTAATCTTGTGCTGGAAAAATTCAATGTAGACGGTACACTGGCACTGGTCTCAATTGATGAAACACTATCTAATTCAATATTAAATAATTGTCGCTTCGATGCAATACATTCATATAAATGTTGCTTAAATTTTACACCATCAAAATAGATGTCATTGTTCGAATCGCAGCTAGTAAACTGTTCTAAACCACTATTGTTACAATGCACTTTAATGAACCCCGGTGCATATGGTAGATCAACAATTTGATTTTGTTTTTTAATTTGACCCCCAATGAAAAGTTGATCAATCTCTGTTGAATTATTCGACGTGAGAAAACGCGTAAATGATTGTCCTTCGAATGTACTACCTGTACAAACTACTTTCATTGATACTGACGAACTAAACTATTCAATCTGATCATGATTTATAATATCGAAAAGAGCATTACAACTGAACGCGTGAATATTTTTGATATCTCGACATTGTTGGCCGAGAGTTGATGTCTACAATGTTCGAAATTTTTAGAAAATCGATACTATAGAAAATAAATCGATTTTTGCGTAAAATCAACGACGCTTTATAAACTTGAAAATCTCTGACGAATTCGTATGTGGACAAATTGAAAATCAAAAGTGGAATATATTTTTAAAGAAATTGACAATAACACTGTCACCAACATGTGCCGTAGCTGGTGCTATGGTATTGTTATACTTTTAATGGTAAAAATCGTTATTTTCTTCCACTGAATTTATTCTTATATATTTTTTGTTTACATGAAATGAGATCGTAAAATCTATCCGTTCTCCACTCATCATAAAAAGTTGCTTCTGGTGTAGAGGGATAGAGAGATGTGCGGAGAACATTTGTTACTAGAAGATATGCAAAACTTTGTTCTTTCTCATTCCTGTTATTGGCTAATCAATGTTAGTTTATAAATAAATTCCTATTTGTAAAATAATGACTCAACAATTAAATTCAAGCAATACGTCGTCTGACCGAGAATTCTACGGGCTACAAGACAGGTGGCCTGCAAATTTTGTTAGAATTCACTTTTGGCTGCTCAGTAAGCCTGGTTTTATTACATTAAATAATTGGTCAGGCTTTTCGAATGCGTTATTGGAAAACAGAGATCATGTTGAGATTTTTAATAACGCACTTCAAGACCACATTTCTTGTAGCTCGTGAAATTCTCTACTAAATGAGGCATTGCTTGAATTTATTAGTTGAGCCGTTATTTTACAAACAGCACTTTAAGGGAGTACAGTAGTATAAGTTAGCGTTAATTAGCGCTAGTTACCCAATAACAGGAAGGAAAGAGAATAAAATTTTACATTTTTTTTGTACTAAATAATCTTCACACATTTCTCTTTTGATCTACAAAAAAACCAAGCTTTCATTATGAATAGAGAATCTGGAAGAATTTTTTTAAACTAGTCCCGAACTGAAAAATTTACCAAAATTTTCCAAACAATTAATTTTTTTCTCAGCCTAACGATGTCGGTAAGCCAAAAAAACTTCAGGATATAAACTTCGAAGTGCCCACTACAAATCGGGAGGGTTTAAGGAAAATCTAAGTGGGGGAACTTCCCCTTAAACGATATACTGTAGATGGATGAGGCAATAATTCTTTTACTGGTACAGCCGTACCGACTATTGCTTCAGCATTCATTAACTGTTTGACTAAGCTGATAAAACCGTCACCAGATACAGATTCAAATGAACGACTGTCAACAGCACAATATTCGACACACGCTTCTGTTAGTTGGTGTTTAATTGTTGCATAATCCTTTGGTTGTACTTCACAATAAGATGAGATCATACGTTGACGTCCTTTTGGTGTGATACTCTTTATACCATTTTTCTTTGGATAACTGTGAGTGTTCATTACTTTAGTGCCGTGTTCACTAATCTATTTCAAAACAATGCCACAAGATAAACAAACAACGTAGTCTTGGGAAACTTTCGATAATTGTATTCGAGAAAATGATGTCCAACAATCACTACGACTGATAGCCGGTTTAATGAATGAAATCGTTGGATCTTTCACTGTGACCAGTGCTTGTAACTTTGTTTTCAAATTATTATTACTCTCAGCATTAACAAGTGACATAATTAATGAATAGATAAAGAAATACAATTCTCTGATGACGATGAGAAGTTCAATGAAACGATCAGACAGAAACAAAGATTTCTCATATTTTCCATTATGTGCTGACTGGATCAGACGAAACAATTTTCGAATTCTCCTTTCCTTCCTTCATTGTTCAAGTTTTAAGAAGATGCTGTGTGTTCCAGTTGTGCCGTGCGATAGCGACAGCTCTTTTTAAAAGAACGGCGTAAACAGTACGAGAAAGCCCGTGGTTCTCTTTTGCGGTACAAAACCGTCTTGGGACAAATGAATTTTTTCATGGAGTCGGGCTCACGAGCTCGGACTAAAGAAAAATTTTACGGGCTAGGGGCAACAAAAAGTTTGGCAGGTCAACTCCCCCTCCCCGCCCCGCTAATTCTATGTCAACAGAAAATACAAAAGCAAAATAGCATCAGAAGAATGAAACAAAAAACATAACTTCAGACAAAATAAAAAGGATTATACCTAACCTAAAAAACTTAAGTCCTTTTGTTCATTACATGTCTCGTCATACAAATAGCAATAGATACTACTATAGTGCATTATGAACTAAAATTTTCAGCAAAAATTTCCAAAAGTTCCTCTTGATTAATAAACTTGCGTAGTTCTTGTCGAATTTTTAGTTCAATTCTTTCAATTGCCCATTCAGCTTCAAAAATATCTGGATATTCTGGTGGACAATATTTTTTACTAGATTTTCATGTGATTTTTTCATATTAATTAAAGCTTCGTTGAATTTACCCTGCCCGTATAAACTCATCGATAAGTTCCTGTAGACTGTAGCAAAGGTAGGATGATCTGGTAGAAGCGAAGTTAGCATTACTTCTAATGCTTTATTTATATACTCAATTGCTCTACTAGTGTCACCGTGTTTATCATAAAGCCTCGAT